TGCTTTTAATAGGTGCGTTGCCAGTTTCCTTACGTAGTTGTTGAACATGCGGTCCATCAGAAACGAGTTAATTTTGAATGGTTGAATAGATTTCAATCCAGTTGAATCATCTGATGTAGTATCATGGCTGGAAGAATTCACCAGGGCAATATTTCTTTTGCCACTGGTGGCTCTTTCTTCAGACATTACATTGATTATTCAACGCACGAAAATTCTTTTAGTGCAGGAGGATATTATCCTTTTTTCTTTGTGCTTATAAGAGATTCTTAACACTAGATTGCCCAAGGAAGTCAGTTTGACTGCTTTTGGGGCAAATGTACAAATAATAATGCATAAATTATTTTTTATCCCTAGCGAAGTAAATTTTTTTTATTGTTAACATTTACTAATAACTTGTTATATGACTGTAAATAATATAAAAAATATTAAAAATTAATTTTAAACAAATTTCTTTACACATTATTCTTTCACAATGCAGTCATTTTGACTGCTTTGGGCAATATAGGTATATACTAAGTTTCAGTCTTTCTAGTGTTAACTATTTCGGATAGTGCAGGACAGGTAGAAAACTAAGAAGGAGATTAAATAATATGATTAACTTAACAAAAATTTATTTTTCTATGATGTATATTTAGTGAAAGTAACAAATAAAATAAAAAATGTGTTGAATAAAAGTCGTCGTGATATAGCGTACATAGTTGTAATATATTTCATTACAATGCAATATAAATAAAAGACCGTTAAGGGATCTATAGAAGCATGATTAATTAAAAAAAACACACTTAACATTCGTATACGCAATACAAAAATACAAAATATATTTTGTACTAAGAATGTTCGTTGCTGGGTGGTAAGTTTTCCGTACAACCATATTTACCCCATAGAGTAACTCCATGATTTACTCACTTCTAATACCACCAATCCTTCATTTGTAATAAATCCGTTGACCTTGAAGTGTTCTAATAATTGCAAGCTTTCTATTTTTGTAGTTAATCGCCTTATTTTTGGGCTAATATTTTATTTTTCTTTTTTGCATCTTACGTGCTTCTGAACAATTGCATAACTGACATCAGAAGTGAAGTCTCCTCTGATTAAATCACCTATGAGATGTGTATTGTACATATGTTTGCACGTTATTGTCGATTTTGGATCGTTACTTTTTCTGTAAATATTGGACATTTTTTTAAACAACTAAGATTGCTTATTATAATTAACATTGCTATTATTAGTACTATTGTGACTGATTGTATTGCCTTTTTAACTTTAATCTTTTGAAATTGCATCATTCGCGGATGGGAGCTTGTCGGATTCCATACCTACATGATCAGAGCTGCTCGTATTTGGTGAGATCGTTCATACTTGTCAATTGTAGTTAAACATTTTAACTGAAAAAGTATAAAATTATAAGTTTAATACTGGAATATTTATATCACGAGTACTATTCATTTATATTATTATAAAAAACATACCTATTACAACTAGACTGTCTAACTGGAACAGCTGTAGGCACTAAGAATCTTCTTATATTTGTTAATGTGTTATGAAGTAACAAGAGATAAAGCTCTCCACTTAAACAGAAATAATAGGCGTTTATTGTTAAGTATTGAGCGACAATGCAACTTCGCCATAAGTACGTGGTTGGAAGGTACAAGAAGGACTTTTGCGCGTTTTTTTTTTGCGAAGTCAAGTTTTCCCAAGAAGGGGGAACAGTCGAACTAGCCGATTCGTCAATTTGTACCGACCGAAGCTGCTCGCGTCAAGAAAATCGCATACGCTTCCACGTCCTTTTCCTTATTAGTGTATAGTGAGAGAAACTAATCCTAACACTATTATTAACACTTACCTAACCACTGCTGAGGAGTTCTGTTTTAGGCCGGCGATTGACGATACGCTCAACCTCCTCTCAACTGCCTCTAAGTTCTCGCGAACTGCAAGGTTTCCTGTAGATATCGGTAGCCCCTGATGAGGTGACTCCTGTCCCTTGATGCTTTGTGAAAACCGTGTCTGCCCGACCATAGGTCATTTGCGATCTCGAGGAATAGATGGAAACTTGGATAATCTGGAAGCTCACGATGCTAGGCATGTGTTAACAGCACGATGTACAGCCGTGGAATGTCAAGGTTAATCGAAAGGACTAAGGTGTAGCGCGCTTTTACACCTAAAACGGGCCCTTTCCTGGAGTGGGGGATGACTGTATTTGGGCATATTCTAGGAGCTTCTACGCTCGCCTCGTCCTGTGACTCACCTACGCAAGGGACGCGTATGTGACTAGCATTGAATTTCTGGAAACGCGCAGGGTCGTATACGTAACAATCTCGTCAATCAATATATCCACTCCTCTAGATCTTCCTATCTAATTCCACCTATTATCCCTGTGCTTAATTGATTATCGCTTGTTACATGTTATTGCCTGAATATTTCTTGCTTGCCACGTGTTTTACAGAAAATTTACCTCCTATTTCTGACTAATTATTAAGTTTCCTTACTTTCTTTGTATTTGAATCCTTTTCTTGCTGCTCCCGAATCCTCTCCTTTTAATTTCCATCTTTTTCTCCGTTATTTTTCCACTTAAATTCAAAAATAGCGCATTGCTCTGACACGCATGTCCTTACTCATACATGTGTGGCGGTTCCTGTCAGCTTGCCGCGCTCTGCCTTACCGACAGTGCGGCGCGCAAGACTGCCTCGCAAACAGCGGCTAGTTCCGCGTCTGGATTTTTAGCGTCAATGACGTTATTCGTTTGTTCGCGCGTTTTAGAGCCAGCTCTGGTTACCTCGTTTTCGCACATCAAGCACAGTTTTCCTATACTTTTCGTGTACTTGTTTATTGTTATAAAAAATACATAGTTAATCAGTGTCATGTCTATTATTTGCCGACTGAATACGCATAAAGATTTTAGGAAACCACTAAAATCTCCACACATGACTCTTGGCTCGCTTCCCCTACGTTACCGTTTGTTATTCAGAAATTGTCAACAGTCCCCATCTATTAGAAATCTGTTAATCTCAATTTAAATTATTTGCTGAGTGAACCCTTCCCTTAACTGTTTATCCGCTTATTTCGGTTTCCTTGCTTGATCTTCAATGTACATAAAATAATAATACAAATTTTCTTTTGCATTTTTTCCCGAACGGTTATTGAACTTTTCCTGCTTTTATCCGTAGCAATTTCACCGAATTCAATCACAAGCTTCGATCGGAACACGATTTTTTCCCATTAG